GCATGCGTCTGCCCGGACTGATTCAAACTGAGGCCATCATTGATCGCGACCGTGTTCGTCTTACAACGTCACGTGCTGGAAACGCAGAATTTTCTGACGATGGCAGCTCTGTCAACGGTGTGAAAACTCGGAATTCATGATGTCCCTTTTCCTATTATGGTAGAGTTCTATTCCCGTGTGAATAACCTTAACGGGTAGCGAACTTACTCCGGCAAACACTAAATGCTCTGCATTCTATCCGCTTTTTGCACTAGTTCTGTGAATCTGATGAGGTCTTTGGATACAGTGGATAGCGACGACAGCGGCGTTGGTAGGGACGCACGATGAACACGCAAAACCCAAGGTGACCTATGGTATGTCATGTTTCCCGAGTTCTCATTACAGAGCAGTGTCTCCAAGGTTTATTTTTTCAAATTTATGTCAGTTGCCTTTTGCCGGTACTCACTGTCGCTTAAGGAATTTTTGCAGAAAATGTTTAAATTACTGTCCAGGCAAGCGTTGTTTTAGATAACATAACCTTCCCGCACATTCTCTACACACGCATGACCAGTCTCCTTAATCACTTTGCGAATTCTTACCTGCACATATTGCGGCAATTGTTACTCGGACATTCCAAGGCCCTGTGCTGTGCTCCGCTCACAATCTCAAGCCGCAATGCTCTGTTTGTCTTTCGACCAATCACAGCTACTCGAAGGGGCCAATCAACTTCAAGGGTGAGGCGTAATAGTGCTCACTCAAGGCATTTGGTCGCCCGTCCCTGCAGATCTAGACGTGTTGCTCTTCTATGTCTAACAAATCACATCCTTTCTCCACCCTGTACGGAACACATTTTCCGTACACCTTTTCCCATTCGGGACTTGATCCGAAGAGGGTAGTGGATAGCAGTAGAGCAAGACCTTAATTGTCGGAATTGAAACGTAACTGTCTGAATTTATTGATTTCAAACATCAATAAAATTCTCCTTTCGACGTAGTACATGAATCCGCCTGCTTCATGGAATATTGTTCAGATAAGGAGAATAAAGTCAACGAAATGCTTTCATGGGGTGGCATGAATATCACAAACGATCTCAGCCTATCGAGTCCAGACTACTGTTCTAATCCGATTCTGCAAACCAGTCGCTCCACTGGTGTCAGCAGTTGATCTTCTTCTCAGTCCTCCATATTCTTCTTCCTCGATCCCATTCAACCTGAATATAAGTTTATATTTCGTGTGCATTAATACTTCTTTTGTTGTTCTGATTTTCCAAACGATTTTCCCGAATATACCTTTCTCCATAATCCGGGAGTCAGAAGCCGACTTACCATGCCTCATGGGTTTTACAGTGGCCCAAAAACCTGAGGCTTTTAGCGAGCATTAAGAAATGCGGCTGGAGATGTCGTTTTCAGCAAGAAAAAATGATCTAATTGAACTTAGGAGATAGTTTACATACAGAGAATTTGGGGGAGTTTACCTGTTATATCTGATTTTGTTAACAAAGTAAGCAGCAGATTTAACAATTGCTGCCTTTCTAGAATCTATTTGCTTGTGATTATTGTGCAGTATTTGTAAAAGAACAGGTGTATGTAGGCACTTTGAGGGGTTGGAGCCCGTGCTTGCAGAGGTTTGGTTCCGAGTCGTCGTCGTCGTCGCCGAACTTTCCCACTATGAACAATTAAGAGCGCAACTTTACACCGTCTCGACGGATCGTGCAGTCCTCCGCTGGAACGATGGCCGGGAAGCAGTGACTCCTTTCTTTGCTCTTTGGGGCGCTCTCTCTCCCACTTATGTGAAACCTGGTACGTCCTCCCTGGAGCCGCCACATGTGGAGAATAGTAAAACAGGGTCGTGTCGGCAAACCCTTGAAGAGCATCGCTTCGTCTCAAGTAAAATGAAGTTCTGCGTGTGTGTTAAACTGGTGTCCGGTCAGTGTGAATGACAATCGGTATGCATGTGATAAGAGAGTGCATTTGTAGTTTCTCTCATGACACCCCCCTTAACGTAAGGGTTTCACAAACAGTGTGGACGTTTGAGATGCAGTAGCTGTGCCATTTCATGAAACGCAGACCGAAAAACTGAATTCTATCTTCAGTTAGGAAAATTACTTAAGTAAATTTTAGTGCACATGGCGTGGGCGGTAGAAATCATCTAAGCATGCGAGTTAGGATTACAGTGTACATAAGCACTACAACGGCCATTCCAGTTAGACATGTATTTGCGGATGCAAGTACATTGGGCGCACGTTAAAACAATTGGCAGCTCGGTCAGCTGAACAGATGCCGAAATAGCTGCTTAAGGCGGAAAATAAGGTACCAAGGAGCTGAGTTACAAAGCACCCAGTGGACACGGGTCATACGGTGGACCCAATGGTTGCATTCAAGGTCCTATTTCGGACGCCGACCGGGCGACTCTTGCGTTAAGTTGGATTGTCATTCTCATTATCGTGCCACAAATGCCAAAATATTCCAATATTTTTAGGATGCCGACTTCCAAACAAGCTCCTTATCGACCGCCCTCAAAAACTAGATTCCGTAACAAATGACTACCGGTGAGGAAAGAATTTTCCTAAGGATTTTCGTTGACCTTATAAAATCGGCTAAATTTTGTAGAAACGATGCACAAAAATATTATTTATATTACTCAGTTGGTAGAAACTTACGTTTTCTTCGAATCTTATGCTTGCAGAAGAAGTATGTTTAGGTCTTTAAAAAGTGTCGAGTCATATGATTTGTCCAGACCATGGGATATCCAACCAGACACTCTCGCATCAGCACGTTTATCAATGCTACTTATAAAGTGAATAAAATTGTCGACATTAAGTGCAAATTTTATGAGACCTGTCTTACCATTTATTAAGTATAGAAATGTGCGTAACTTTCCTTACATAGAAAGTACACAGTTTGTAGTTTGGAAACTCTGAATGCAAGTGTGACGGCAGGTCGTAATCAAAATTATTCGGGAATTAAGGGAAGTTTTTAAAACCACATGTTACTCCATCTGCAGGCACAAAATTTGAGGAAGACGTATGTTTCTACCAAGGGGGTGAAAGAAAACAAATTTTGTAGGCATGCTTACTGTCAAATATATCTGAGTTTATAAGGGCATCAATAGTCATTAGGAAAACTAATGCTGCACATGTAGTCATTAGTCATGGAATTTAGTTTGTGAAGGCGGTCGATAAGGAGCTCGTTCGGAAGACGGCATCCTGGAAATGCTGGAATTCTTTGGCATCATGTGACTCGATAATGAAAACAACGACTTTACTGAATTAATCTTTTTACGGATTGGAAAGACATTGCAGAATTTATTCAACATTGCATGGGATAGCATATCTCCTTTACGTCAGTCATTGGCTATGATTGCATCCCATCAAGTACGGCGAATGAATATCATCTCTTGGTGCTAGGATATACGTCCAAATATCAGATTTTGTATATTGGAGGCAGAATGTTGGAACGGAGCACCAGGATTTCTGCAATTCAGTTCAGTCATGCGTGACAACCCTTGCTGCCGGGATAGGAAGGAATATAAGGGAAACTCGGATAGCCGGAAGGGCATTCGGCGTGTGCTGCATTTAGTTCCCTCGTCGTAACAATGTAGGCTATTCTGCGATCCGGGCGGTGAGCGCACACTTGAGTGAACGCCAGAAATCTAGTTGCCTTGATCAACTATTTAACAAGAACGAAATAAATGTAGGTCCACCCCAAGTTTCTTCCGATCACACGACATTTGTGTCTCTTCTCTAAACAATTTCCAAGTTGTCAAGAAATGTCTGGCAGTGTGAATTTGAGGCAATGAATTCGGCGACTCCACTCATACTGGTGACAGAGGTTATGTGCAGATGTCAGCAAGCATTGGGGAACCGTTGAAATAACAATGAAAGTCTTAATTGAGTTGTACTTTATTCTCATTTGGAACACTCGGTTAGAATTGGGCGAAGTGGCCGATGTCTACGGTAAATAAGGTGATTCAAAATAAACACGGATGCTAGGGACACGAACTGCGACAAACAGTCGGCTCTGGTCAGCAAAGTTCGTCAAACTGTCACGCCGAGAATCAAGCACGCAGCTTCCAATGTGGTCCCATTCAAAGTACCTTCATTGTCAGCTTTGACGCAGACCGAGTGAGAATTCATTATCCCTCATTCTCAGTGGTGCCAATAAAAAACCGGTAAATTCTACGAAATGCGCTCTCACGTCCTTGAATACGCAGAGGGTGTCGATCTGAGTTAGTGGATTGACAAAAATATGGCCGCGGTATTCCACATGATAATGATTCACAGTTACTTCTTTTACAACAACGACTACTACTACTACCACCATTACTAGCACTTCAGCTACTACTGCTAATATATCGGAATTCTATTCGTCTTCACACCAGTTTCGTGAGTCTGGTGCAGTCTTGGACAGTGCAGACCGCGAAGGCAGCG